AGATATGCTGACGGAACTTAGGTAAGGTTGGATCCGCCTATTATCCTAGATGAACAAGCCCTATTGGAAGAAAGGCCGCATGAAATTCACCCACATCATGAAGCCTTAATTTATTTCATTGTGAGAAATTTATTTATCTGTCTCTACAGTAACTAAAGTTAACAAGGGTTATTTAATTATATTTTTTTAATCTTTTACTAGTTTCAAAATATACCTATTTTCTGGTTAAAAATCGAAATCATGCTATCTATTGACAAAATGGTGTTGGTACTCGATCTTTAGTACGATCAAAAGTTAGTTTCTCGGCTTAATATTTAACCTGAAGAGACACTATTAGATAAAATTTGTTGCTTTTGCCTGACAATTATCAATTAAACGATATTTTTAACATTGTTTTCTTCTTTCTCCTTTCTTCCACCTACGAATTGTTGTGTTTTAATTTTTCCTTAAGTAGCATTACCTATTTATATTTTATTGTTATTATATACCTTTTTCTCTCAGGCTCACGGAGCTCTGGTTGAGCACGATATCCCAGATGATGAGGATAACGCCGATTCTAGGTCCCGAACTCGGTCCAGATCACGTCGTTCCACCATCGATCAGCTCGTGATCACTCCACTGGGCCGGTTGCTCTCCGATCTGCCTGTTGATCTTGCCATCGGCCGAATGTTAATTATGGCGAGCCTTTTTCGGTGCTCCGAACCCGTACTTACCCTTGCCGCCGGGATGGCTGTTCCCTCCCCACTTTCCAGCATTACTTCTTTGCGCACAAGCAGTGAGGCCAGTGGTAATTTGCAGCAGACTAGGCTGCAACGTGCAGAAGCCCTAGAGGCCTACGAGAGTGACAACGGTGACCCATTCACCGTTTCAAATATTTTCGATGAATGGATTATGGTGCTTCTCTTCTTACTTGATCCATTTCTTTTTCCTGCATTAGAGTGGTTTTTACAAAATTTGCATTGAGTAATTCCCACAATTAATCCCTCAGATATTGGAGTTAATACTTAGCTTCTTTCCAAAGCTTAACCTTACTAATCGAAGGTATAAAGACCCAAGATAGTGTGGCCTTTATTATTATTATTAAGTTATTAATTCTTATTACTATTTATTATTCATTTTCATTAACTGATTCATGAATGAAGCTACGTTTATGTTGGATAGACTTACATTTAGTATGCAAGTGCATGAATAAGAGATTCGAAGATCGATTTCATCAAAAGACGACAGTTGATTCCCACTGTACTCCAGCCGTTTGTCTTTACTACGGCATTCAGATTGACGCAGTCCACACGACATCCTACCTCGTTTTGGGTGAAATGGGTTAAGCTTTCGTTCATAAGATGACTGACATAATTACAGCTAGAACTTAATCTTGTAAAAGTATTACGTCAGCACAAGGTCGTGAAGACAATCTGGCTCAATATCACTTTTATACATACACATAATTTAAAACCAAAACGAATAGGTATTGATAGATATAGGATGGCTTAGCTAATTATCTTTCATAATGGTCCTGATACTTTTGCTCAAGTGTGTGTGTGGGTGTGTTAATGTCTATACGCAATACCGGTCCTAAATCATAGTGATCAATAAGGTCAAGTTCATGCTCTGGTCGTCAAGACTTAATGACCCAATAAAAAGCCCTGACCGAGATTGCGAAGGCTCTCAAATTTCTATCATCATTCCTCACATTCAATGCACTTCCTAATTTATTAATTTCAATAGCCTCTCTTGTCTTCATTTTAACAGCAAACGTACCCTAATCAGCAAACCTACTAGTTTGAGACCATTATATCTCATGTCTAGTCTGCCATGTGTTCTGCTACCTCTGGCCGTTGGACTTAGTTGCCTTCACAAACATTTTTATTTTGCGCGGGTCTTTCTTGAATAGACTGGCGGGCCTCACTAGCATAATGTCGACCACACAAACGCACAATCTTGTAGCAGCTGGATCTCGATATTGGATTATGTAACTCTAAAAAATGGCATAACTAAACAAAATGTAAGGGTTTATTTGAACGCTGTTTTTATCCGCCACTTTCTTACTAGTTCGCCTATCATTTTGAATCAAAGGCAGGATGACAAACTTAGTACATGAGAAAAGATCTACCCTTTTCTATTTTTGACCAAATAGTCTTCGTCTCTTCTATTTCCATTGTGAACCTAATGTTCCTTCACGTTGGTTAAGGGAATTTAGGAAATTATTTACACTCCTTACCTTAATGCGAGATGACAAAATAGTAATCCATGTATCTAACCGATAATTTAGGGCCAGTATTGCCTCTTTTAAAACAGGTTTCTCGAGCATAGCCATATAATTCTTCGCCAAAATGGGAGCAGAGTCAGATCCCATCACAAGTTTTGCTTGTTCATAAAACTTATTGTCAAAAAGTATAATAGGTATTACTCATAGATGGACCGCTATGCTCAACCTTATTCCTTGTCTGATCTCTTGGTGCTACTCATGAGTTTGTACTAGAACCTGAATAGCTCATTGAACATGAATGTTTGTTTACATAGACACATCATCAAAACTTACTAGCCTATCTACCGAAATTATCTGATGATCAACTAATTTTGAAAACTCAATACTTTTTAGAAGTGGGTTGACCTCGTTTTCGACACTTGGTCTGGTTGTCAGGGCGACTTAGTAGAACGCACCTAGTCCGAAGTCGTCTGCCACAGTATTTCTCATGATTCATAGCAATATACAGTGGACTCAATACCAAGTGTAGAGCAGATTGCTAAAAAAAATTCAATTTACGATGGAAGTAGAGCGGTTACCGTTCCTGGACGTTGAAGTAATTCGCTATAATGGGACACTCAAAAAGAAATTGTTTAGAAAGAAGTCCTATGCTGGAATAATATTAAATTTCCGGTCCCATCACAATTACAGGCTAAAGATTGG